GGTTCCTGCAAAATTTAGTTGAGCTTCTTCAATTGGCTTAGCTACTAGCTCCCTTTGGAATGAATGTTGTTTTTCAATTACTGGGTTTAAGTTTTTACCTTCGTTTTTTTTGCTTGTTGGACTACTAAGCGGTGTTTGTGATGGAACCATATGTAATGGAAGAAGTCCAGCATCGCAGCAGATCCGGGGTGAGTTAGGTGGATGCTTTCCAGTACTGTTTGTCGGATTTGGTATGGTAGCACGATACATTCATCAATCAGTAAGCAGTCATCCCATACATGGAGGCGGTTGCGAATATTGTACCAATATTGGCGGTATGAACAATTTAGTGCCTTCCAGTCTCGGTTTGGAACGAAATTTAGTATGGGCCTCTTCTGTGATCATTTTTTGACTCGCTTCTAGTTGTTGTTGTTGCGTGTTGGGAGTTGTTGCTCTTGTCTGTACTGTTTAGGGTCCACGCAGCTGACGCAGTACTAGTATGCTTCGTGTACCTCAATTGTGAGTTCTGTTCGCGTATTAGCTTCCTGTGCCTCTATTTGTGGTTCAGTTTGTTTGTTAGCCTTTTTTGTTGTCTGCGTTGCCGGTGTGTGGGATGTGATTGCCTCTGCACTATCTGTGAAGACGATTTTTAGAAATGATGTTTTTTTTTTCCGTGAGGTTTTTGTCAAAAGTTGTATGGCGTCCTGAAATTTCGCTTGTTTTGATGGCGACTGTGGGGTGCTTACGTCTGTCGCGTCGGACGAAGTATATTGTTCGTTTGTTATACTACGACGATGCCGTTATACTACGACGTTGCCATCTGGGGTCGGAAAGCTTTCTTCACGATCTGAGTCCCCCATCCATTTTTAACCATTTTGTTCGGTTCAGGTGTTGGTCGCTTATGTTTCCTCCTCGGTTTTGTGCGCTATCCGGTATGACACCACCCTGGAAACCTTTGCAGTCGTTTCGTCTCCTCATTTTTTGAGAGATTTCAGTTAAATTGATCAAATGGATTTTATTTTCTACTTCTGTTGGTAAACTGAGATCCGGCTGATTTTGAGCCAGTGAACAATTTCTTTTTGATTTGTGTGACCGCTTTGTTTGGAATGTTTGAAGTGCACTTGAGATTTCAATCAGCTTGTTAGCCTCCTTTCATTTTCCGCGCGCTTTTTGATCAAGTGATTCGGTGCGCGTTTCTGATTGGCTAGGTTGCTTAGAAAGAGGTTATCGATCATCTCAAGATAGGATACGAATGCGATGATTGTCGTCTTTTCAAAAACTTCGTCGTAGGCGCTTGGGGGGAGTGCTTATCCCATTGGATTATGCCACATAAAGTCTATTAATCCCACTTTAGTTCCCGCCAATTGTTCAAAGTCAAAGTTAAAAGGATTTGTCGGTCATTCCATTTTATGAGCCTAATTTGGCGTGTTTTTGTTCTCTCAATTGCGTTTAATGCAAGGAAGCTTCTTGGTCTGTAATGGCGCTAAAATTTTTTACAGTACAAGTAGTACATGAAACGTTCGATGGCCTAAACTATCCCTAATAATTCAGGTTCCTTAACTGAAATTTTGTCCCCTAGTGAATTTAGGAATCTTGATTCATAGGTGTTTGCTACCCAAACTCTTTTGGTATATTGTCCGACTGCTGCCGCCAAACTGAGGCTTGAGGCATCACATACTACGCAGGCTTCAAGTTTTGATTCGAGGGCTTGTTTTCTGTAATTTCTGAAACTAACTTTGGAACAATTTTAAATGCCCTGGTATATTCGGTATTCCAAGCAAGTGTGAGAATGATTTCTGCTCTTTTATGTTTGACTTCACTGTTTGTGCGAATTTGTCTAGTAGCAGTTCGATATTTGGCATCTGATCTTTGTTTTGTGTAGAGATTTGCTTATCTTTCTGGAATCTAGTGCCAATTTTACCGTTTGTCGTGTTCAACGGTGATTACAATTGTGCCGATAAACTGTATATAGTTTCTGGGGTTTTTAATCTATCAGTCGGTTTAATTCTTTTTCAACTCTCCTGTAAACGGCTCAGAATTCATCTTCCTTTCTGCAGTATCGAAATAACATCTTTGAGGAATTGTGTTCTCATGATGTAATTTTTCGCCTTTCAGATTCTTACAGTTTGATTTCTGGATTTGAATTTTTGTTGTCGTGGATTTTTAACATGTGGTCTTGATTTGGTTTGTCCTGTATTAGTTTTTTTCCGATTTGTGGCAGAATATTACGTCCTATAAAGCCAATACCGGGAATTTATCCCGTGGAAACTCTTAACATCCATTTGAGGATGTGAATTTCGCGAACGCTACCGGGTTGTTTTTTTCTTCCTCGTTGGTATCTTCGTCATTTCCTGGTTGTTTTTCATTTCCCTCTCGCATAAAGTTTACGTTTGTGGATCTGCAAACTTTTGCAAAAAAGTCCCCGCTCGGCACATTTGGAACAGATTTTGTCCTTCGCGGGGCATGATTGTAAGTGTTTTGGTCCAAATTGTTTGCGTTGTTCTGTACTTGAAGTTTGTTGTCCCCTTGTGTTATGAGTTCCTCTCTTACCTCGGTCGCGTTGATTATTTTGGTACTTGAATTGTCCACCGACCTCGTGGCTGGATATGTTCCACTGGTTCCGGTTTGATGGGAGTGGCCGTTGTCTTAATTGTTCACTACTGTTTTTAATAATCATATATAATTTGCCATTCCGGACCGGATGACATGGGAAAATTAACTTCAAGACAAAAAATGGCATGACAATTTACAATGGAAAAATTCATTCTTGAATATATTTGTTACTACATGATATAGGTACACATTAGCACTAGGAGTATAGCCAAACGTTTGCTCTACGCTTTCCAGCCGACCTCAGATCCATTGAAGAGAAACTCGTAATCATGTCTCTCATGACAAAAAATGGACCTCTCCAAAAAAACGAAGCGTTAAAAGATGTGAAACTAGCGCTAGGCGTTTTTTTGTTTCCATCTGCTTTAAGTAACAGGACAATTTCTGATCACGCATTTATAAATTTGTTTTTTTTTTTTTTAGTTTCTTTATACCGATTCAAAAAATTTGGTTACTCATTATACTAATTCAAAAATTTTGAAAATGTATTCATGGCTCTTATGAAAAAAAATAGTGTAAACCTGGGACTTCTCCAAAAATACAAGCGTTAAGAGATGTGAAGCTAGAGCTAGGTGTTTTTGTTTCCATCTGCCTTAAGTAACAGAACGATTTCTGATCAAGCATTTGTGAATTTGTTTTTTTTTTGTTTCCTTGTACTTCAAAAATTTTGGTTACAACTCAACAGAGGCGTTCATCAGAGCCTTAAAACGATTAATCGGAGAGGATGGGCAGCATAATTTGCTAATGATTTTGAAGCCCACCTTGCGTTCTATGCCATCCGCAAAAGCCAGCCAACATATTCAGTCCGTTTCTCCTTGAACGCGAACACTGCAAAAGTGCACGTCGTGTCGCGACAGTTTCACCTTCAGTCGACAAAAATGAAGCCCTTAAACCGACCATTTTTAACAGTTGTTAACTTTCAATTGAAAATGAAAGTTTGCCTAACAGCTCGCCACTCACATTTGGAAAAGCGTGCTCAAGGAGTTTATCACGCATTCTGGAAAGTTCAGAGAAGTAAAATTACCAAAAAAAAATCAACTAAAAAGGAAAAAGAAAAATTTTAGAAAAATGAAGAAATTAAATGTGTCTAAAACCGTTTCTTATAAAATTTTGCGATTTTTTTCAGTTTGTTTTTCATTTTTCGCAAGAGTTTACTATATTTGCGCCGCGATCGGTTATCGAAATTTGCTAATGCTTGCTGCAGCATTAATAAATGGCCTGCAAAAATATTACGATCTTTTTAAACTTTCGAATGAAACGGCTTGTACCGCAATTAACTCTTAAAATTTTTCAAGAGTTGCAAAATCATGCCCAACAGAGTTTGAATTAGCCGCACTTAGATAATTTTCGGCGCTAATATGACTTGTTTCAATTGTTGCTCAAACCGATCAAAAACTAAACTCAAAAAGTCTTTATTTTTCGGTTTTGGTATTTTTCAAGCTAGCTGAGTATAATTTAGTTTGTCCGTTTTGGATTTTGAGTCAACTTGTTTATCTCCAATCTTTTCTTCACACACATTTTCATCTTCACTTGGTTTTCATTCTTAAATATGATCTCTTCAATTAAAATAGTTGTGATAGGCCTCGGCATCGGAAGGGTCGAGGCGTGTGCCTGTGATCTAGACTAGGTGGTAAAAACAGACTCTTCCCTCACTGTGCAGTGGCCTAATTTTGCGGCGAAATAATTTTTTGCTAATGAAGAGTTTTGATTGTTGTAGAAATTTAATTCTTAAGTTTTTATAAAACTCCTTCGTTTTTTGAGCTATGGATCCACCTATACAATAACTTAAGCCGTCAACTAACCGGCCAAAGTCGCTCATAGGCGGAATACTAAATCCATTCGTTATTGTTTCTGTCGGCCATGTTTTAAAAGGTCCTTTGTTATGGCTTTTGGTTTCGAACCGCGCAGGTTGACTGCGATTCAGCTCTTTCAGCTCTACCTTTATCGGTTCAAAAACCTTTTCAGTCCACTCTGCTCGTCCGATTTCCAGTTTATTAATTAATCAGGCAAATTTGGCTCAAATATTGGATGTGTCGGAGCTGACTGGTATCCTATTTATTCAGTTGTCCCACCTGCAAAAAGTCGGCAAAGATTCGAAAAAAATTCTTTTATTTTCTTTTCACCTGTTGTTTGTTCAATTTCTGTATGAAAAATGCATTGTATTTTGATGACTGACCAATCATGTTCAAGTAGATATTCGTGATTGTTTTTCAATTATGTCACGTCACTAGGAAGCAAGGAAGCAGTTTATTCGAATTCTTTTTAACTTTTATAGAATAAAAGATTTGTTTCATTTCTCTGCTTTGTGCAAATAAGGGACTAAATTTGAAAGCATACCTTAATTATTCCGGATTTTTGTGGCTTTTAAAAGACTTAATTAATCGAAAAAATTTTTCAAAAAAAAATTAATATTCCTTCGAAAACTTTTCATAGTTTGGCCTGTCTTGATCTACTTTGACTTTGTTTTGTTGAAGAACAGCAACACAAACAAAATGCAAACGTCCCTCAGTGTATTATCAACTACAATTATTTGGGCAGCAATTTTCAAGTGTTCAGCAAGTGAGGGCACCAATGGGGTCGAGGAAGAAACGAGGTTGCTTGAGCGACTCAAGAGCTCCCTTCCGAAACACCGGCCGCCAAAAGACATGCGTAATGACTCAGTTCACATCTTCGTCGACTTGTACAGCATCTCAGGTCAGCTGCTTTTTGGTTCCGCCCATTGAACATGGGGAGGAAGTTTGTATTCAATGCGTTTTATTTTTTTTTGATTTCCACGCAAAATCAGGTACCACATATATTCCTCGGACTGAGTCAACGAATGTATCATAGTACTGCTCTTTTAGTCGTAATTCTAACGATATCAAGAAGGTTAAAAAAATTATCTCAGTGTCAAGAGAAACCCGTTTAATTTTTTAAATTTTGGTCTAATTTCAAGCGAATAAGGTGAGCGAGCATGCTTACAATAGCTTATTTATGCTTAATTTAAGCCAAAAAACTTAATTTTACTCGAGTAAAATTAGTTTTTGGAACTTTTTTGGGCCATTTTGGGACAAATTATAGTACGAGGTAAACCGTTATCGGATTTGATTTGCTTATTGTTTATTTCTATGCCAATTTCTATTGCGACATTCCAAAAGGCATAAGCTATATCCGTTCCGTTAAAGTAAATCCGTTTTGTATTCTGGTGTTTTTTAAGTTACTCATTTTTTGTTTTCGGCACAAAGTCAAGTATCACAAATAATCATCACAATGGGTCGAGTGATACATAATATTGAAGCCCCTCCAGTCGCGATTTGAAATATCCAATGAAAGTTTCAAAAAATTGTCCCAGTATCGAGAAGAGCAGGCTCAAAATTTTTATTTCTGATTAAATCCGAGCGAACAAAGCAATTATCGTTTGTTTTAGTAGCTTTTGGCTTACGATAGCTAATAAATGCTTCATTTAAGCCGTAAAAACTTAGTTTCAATCGAGTAAATTTAATTTTCGAATATTTATAGGCCATTTTGGGAAACAAAAATTCAAAATTAAAAAAATTTCTGCAAAAAAATTTGAAAAAATTTGCAATGTTTTTTGATTTTTTTTCTGTTTTTTTTTAAAATTGTTTTTCTAGTCATTTTTCTAGTAAAGCTGTTTTCCAATTTACCATTTTTACTTTGTCAAATATGTCTAAATTCTAGTTTCTTGTTCATTCCTTTGATCAAACCACGCAGAAAAAACTTTTTAAATGTTTTTTTTTCTAAAGCTATAATCGGAACATTTTGTGCCAATTGCTCAGTAACCGGCTATACTTAATTTATTTGATGTTGTTGATGAGATGTGTTTCAATGTGGGAAGCACCTGACTCGTCAGTCTTCTTTTTTTCATCCATCCAATAACTTAGATTGGCGAGGGTGAGAGCAGGGTGTATATCCCTGAATACGCCGATCCTTTCAAATCTAACAGCCCGAATTTGGACTAACAAATGAACAAATAATGACTCCTGAAAATACGCGATGAACAAAAAGTGAATGATTCGTTAAATGTCTTGTTTTAATATGATGTCAAATGATTCTGCTTGGTGGCATCCCTCATGATAGAGGGGATCGAATGAAGGAAACAAATTTTAGGTTACTTTCAGTCAATCAGAATTGAGAACTAAGAAGTCTCAAAGAAATCTCAAAAATCTCAAAGTAAGAAAATAAATCTAGGTCATTCATATTAATAATGACCGATTGCAGAAAAAGGCAGACATATGAACTTTCAAATATTGTCAGATCTAGGACGCATTGAAACAAAATTAAAGATAGTTTTTTTTAAAAAATTGCTAACAAAAGCCAAAAAATTATTCGATATCTGGACGAATTGTATTACAAAAACACTTTGTACTTTTAAAATTCATCTTCCGCTTATTTTTTCGATTTCAAGCAAAAACTGCTTAGCGAATATGAATGTCTAACATTTCTGATTGGTTGAAATTATCCATCATTTGGTCTCTCCATCATGAGAATACCCCCCAATTCTGTTTCAGACGTGAACGAGAAAGATGGCTACTTGTACAGTAAAATGTGGCTGTGGTATTACTATTACACTGATTCGGCCAAGTGGAACAGCAGTGAGATGAGCATATCTACCATTCAGGTCCCGCCATACACTTTTTGGCATGCAGACATCAGTGAGCATTACTTTTTTGTGTTATAAGACCCAAAAGGATCTTTGTGTTTGTTTGGAAATTGGATAAAATGATCTAATCTGGTTGTTTGAAATTAATTCTAGCGAAATCTGGATTATGATTGAAAATGGAAGCTCAATAAACAATTTGGTAATTATGAGCCGTAAAACATAAAGCACACCTATTGTGGAACTTTTTGGAAAATGTTGATAAAAAAACTGCGCTTTTTCGGCGTGCGCTCCACCTCAAAATTTGTTTATATTGGCGCCAAAGGCGCCTTTAGAAAAATTTAGGGTCAGTCAGCCACAAACTGATATCTAAAATTACTGCAAAAGGAAGACCCTTTGGGTCGGCAGAGGATCGAATCTCGGAGGGGAAGAGTCGACCGCCCCCTCCCCTCCCCGAAAATCTGATACTGAGGCTTAGCATTGAGCAAGGAATACTAATTGTGCTGGAAGATACGAAGTTGGCACGAACTAAAAATGCAATGAACGCTATATGAGTTTTCTAGTAGTGAATCAAATTTGTAATTAACTTGCTTGTTTAAATGATGTTTAAAAATAGGAAGGATCAAATTATGCTAAGTACGAACAGTATTGGTGTCTGATCTTCGATCTTTCTGGGCATTTGCGATGGATATTGATTGATGTGTAAGTATGGATGTTTACTATGAGAAGTCGTGTTTGCTCTGCAGTTGCCCTGGACGCCATAGACGCCCTGCCTGTTGTGTTCGACCGTCAAGTGGTGTTCGGGTGGAATGGGATGGTCATCTTCTACTCCACTCTGGTGTCAATTAAGTTCGCCTGTGCTTTTGACGTGTCCCACTTCCCCACCGACAGTCACAAATGCAGACTCCGATTCGGACAGTGGACATCCAGCAAATTCCACTACAGAATAAGTCAGTTCACTCATCCTACGACCCAAAGATCCCCCTTTGGTACTTTAGTATACAACATCCAGTTTTCCCGATACGTCCCGATATATCCTACTTTTGACGGGGAGCGCGCACCGAAAAAACACAATTTTTTATAGTCAAAGTTTTCCAAAAAGTGCCCAAAACGGCATTTTTGGCTTGTTGTTGTTTTTCCAAACTTTGCTGCGGAGCAAATAAATTATGACAAGTCGCCAAGCTCTTCAATCAATCTACTCATATGTAATTTTTACATGACGCAAAAGTTTTTTGCAATGTTTTTTTTTTGTTATAAATTTTTTCGTGCATAATTTCATCGCGTAACTTGAGTGCCCATAGATTAATAACAAGCATTGAAATGAAGTCAGCGATTCTTGACATTTCAAAAACCAAAAGTCTTAACTCCAGAACTTTACTTCGTCATCTCTGATCTTTATATGCCACCTTGAGACATGCACCTACTTACTTTTTTAGTGTGATGGCGAGGGTCTCAAAATATTTGAAGCAGACAAATGTTTTAGTTTAGCTCCGATACCATTTTAGTCCTATGTCATCTATCCTCTTTCTGCTCACCTGAAAGCTTCTTCGCGGGTTAATGACTTAAGCTGATATGAACTATGGCTGAATTTCAGAGCTCATAACCATTCGCGACCGGGATTGAATTCAAAGATCCAATTTGAGGTCATGCGTTTTTTATGTTGTTTGCAATAGTGATTTCACATCAAGAACACCTCTGAAATATTTGGAATATCCTGTGTATTTTACGACTTCAAAGCAAGGTTTCTCGTTTTCCGATCTGACTAAGTTCTTCTGAATAGTTTCATCGAGCATGTGTTAAAATTTTAACCCTGTATCTAAATTTATGCAGAGAAAACAACAAAAACCTGGAGAAAACAAAGTTTCGTTAGTTTTCTCGTTGAAATCAACTGTTTACGTATTTTTTGTAGGCCAGTGTAACACTCATTCCTCGAGAACAATTATTATGATTAATACAGTGCTGATTTAAATTATCCGGACAAAACGAAGAAAACTTAAATTTTCAAACGCGTTTTTCTCAATTTGGGTTAAGATTGGACAAAAAATGAAAAGAGAAAAGGTTGCTTAGATTTTCACCAGAGTTAATATGGTGCAATTTTTTCTCCAAAATTCTCAATTAAAATTTTACCCTAAAAATGGGTCATTTTGGCCTTTTTCAATTAATCAAGAAGTACGTTGTAACTACTTTGTTAATTGATAAAAAATATATATCACAAGAAGCCTCTTACACAGCCCAACAAAGGTCTACAAGGGTCAAATCTCCAAAAACCGGTATAAGAGAAAATATTTTTGCTTGATAGTCAAGAAATGTATTTTTTACTATGTAAAACCCAAAATCTTTGCTCGAAAACAAATTTTCAACAATTAATGAAACTTTTACCCGTAAAGATTTTTGTTGGGCTGTGTAAGAGACTTCTTTTGAAAAAAATTTCTCATCATTTAACAAATTAGTTTCAGCGTAATTCTTGATTATTTTAAAAAAGCCAAAATGATCATTTTTATTGTAAAATTTTGGTTGAGAAATTCGGAGAAACAATTGCACTATATTAACTGGTGAATTCTAAGCAACCTTTTTTATTTTTTGTCCAATCTTTACCCAAATTGAGAAAAACGCATTTGAAAATTTAAGTTTTGCTCGTTTTGTCCGGATAATTTAAATCAGCATTGTATTAATCATAATATATGTTCTCGTGGAATGAGTGTTACACTGGTCTACAAAAAATACGTAAACAGTTGATTTCAACGAGAACACTAACGAAACTTTGTTTTCTCCAGGTTTTTGTTGTTTTCTCTGCATAAATTTAGATACAGGGTTAAAATTTTAACACATGCTCGATGAAACTATTCAGAAGAACTTAGTCAGATCAGAAAACGAGAAACCTGGCTTTGAAGTTGTAAAATACACAGGATATTCCAAGTAGTTCAGAGGTGTTCTTCATGTGAAAGCACTATTGCAAACAAATCATTTTTTCACTAATTCAGTCTGTCGCTTTTTTGTCAAACTGAGTCAGTCTGTCGCTCATCACTACCCCTTGAAAATCTTTTTGAGCAAATGAATTCGGATTTCTTAAGTTGTTTGCGCGAATGTTTTCACATCCAGAACACTTCTGAAGTAATATAGTATATACCGGCTATCAGGCGCGGATTTACAATTTTCTCTAAGGGGGGGGGGGGCGGATTTTCAAAAAATTGTCGAAAACTTTGACGACCTTTTTTTTAGGTCGACCAAATTGATTTTCCAAGCTCTCCTACAGCACTAAAAAGACGTCGTTTTGGCCAAATTTTTGCTCCGCAGGCAATTTTTTTTGAAAAAATATGTTAAAAAGCCGTTTTTGGGCACTTTTTGGAAAAATGTTGACAAAAAAATGGCGTTTTTTGGCGCGCGCTCCCCCTCAAAGTTAGTATATATTGGCGCCAGAGGCGCCTTTAGAAAAATTTTAGAGTCAGTCGGCCAAAAATGGATTTCTGAAAAAGTTCCGGAGGACCGCCCCCCCCTCAAATCCGCCCCTGCTGGCTATATTACGTCTTCAGAGCAAAGCAAATTTCTTGATTTCGATCTGGCTAAGTCTTCCTAAACAGTTTCATCATGTGCTAAATTTGCAACCCTATATCTTAATCAATTGCAGAGAAATTAGCAAAATTCGTTCATTTGCTGGTTGAATTCAAGTGTCGACTTATTTGCAGTAGCCCAGTATACGACGACAATTTATCTGACTTCATCATCTGAGAGCGTTCCTTCATTTTATCATATAGCTACCATTTGTCTATGATTTTTTATCACACTTAGTTTTATTTTCAAAAAAAACTTTGTAAGAGGGAAAATTTGCATTGTAAAAGTGGAAAAAAAATTTCTTTTAATTAAATTGCACTGTAGTAAATTTAATGTAGCGATGGACCCAATGATACCGACTGTGGCTGCGGATTTGAAGCACTACCAGGACAACGATGAGTGGGATCTGGTGAGGCCAGTACCCCTGCGCTTCGGAACCCACGACTGGAGAGGCCAGGCATACATGGACCACTTGGAGATTGTCATACAACTGCAGCGCAGAGGTAAGATGAGAGGCCCGAGATGATGAAGGGGGAGTGGGATTTCCATCAGGCAGTGGGTCCTTTTTGGCCCCCTGTAGGTTTATTTTATATTAATGAAGAACACATTTCGCTAGATAAATTTCTTCCTATTCAAATCATCTCAATTCGGCATGATACAAAATGCTTTGTTCTCGAAACGCCAGCGGTAAAAAATGTATTTAGTTGAGAAACAATAGTAAAGAGAATAGAATCTTGGTTTAAAAAACTGTTGTGCATTTGTCAAAGGATTATTGCAGGTCTCTTCTACAACATCGTATTCATGCTTCCCAACATTCTACTCTACATGCTGTCAACCCTAGTCTTCGTCATCCCAGTCGAGTCGGGAGAGAAGGTCGGATTCTCCATGACTATCCTCCTCGCCGCAGTCGTCTCCTTCGGAGCCATATCCGAGATGCTCCCAGCCAGTTCCCTCAACTTCCCAGTCATAGCTTATTTCCTGGCTCTAGTTGTGTCCCACATGGCTCTGGATACATTTCTCACTACCATAGGTAGAATAGTTTTAATTTTTTTTGTCTTTTATTTAATTGAAGTGAAAAAAAAATTATTATTTTTTGTTTTTGTTATTTATTTTTTCTTTTTTCTTTTGCAAAGATAACTCTCGTCTGGAAAAGCCCATAATAATCATCCGAGAACAAATTTTTTTCATTATACAAAAACAATTGATTTTCTTAAAACGAAAAGTGTTTTTTTCTTTGCAAATTTTTAAATCTTCCAAGATTTGAATGCTTTAGTGATTAATGTGCATTTCATGGACGACCGCTTCAAAATGCGAACTAGTCTGCGAAAAATTATTTCCGGCAACGTTCCGATCTTTTTCGGTCTCAAGCCATGTCCCATCGAGAAGGCGTTACCGAGAAAACGGGAGCGGGACGAACGGAACCAGCTGATGGAACAACTGGAAAAAGGACACAATCAGGAGAATGTTAAAAAAGATGACGGAGATGACGACGGGAAGAACCAAAAATGGGCCTCAGTCGCAAATAGGCTCGGAAAGGCGTCCCAGGCAAGAAGTGTTATAGCTCTGTGGAAATGTTTTGGGATAAAATTCGTCACAAATAAAACTTGATAGCCTGTCAAAAAACGTATTATGTGGGGATGAGTTATAACGAGATCTCTAAATTATCAAGCAATCCAAGCACGGCCAAACTTCATTGAAAATAAATGAGTAGATTACAGAATTGTCATTGATTTTATGAATTATAGGAAAAACAACAAAAAGATCACTATCAAATGCCGTTATACAAATATTCATTTTTTGATATTCCGCTTTCGATCGATTTGCAAAAAAAAACAGATTAGTTATTCCAGGTAGCACTGGAAACAGCTGCTGGAACGAATAAGCGCAAGAGTTTCTTGCTGACCCAGACGAATCAATTTCTGAAGGCGGTGGACCAGGTGAGAGTGCTGGAGAGCGATGACAACATGGACTTCCTCTGGCAGTATCTGGCCAAACTCATAGACCGAGTCTTCCTCTATCTTCACATTATAATCGCAATCACTGTCATGATTGGATTCTTTGGAGCGACTTGAAGCTACATATGTGAAACACAGCTTGGAAACAATCGGGAAAAACCTTCCGACAAGTTGATAGACTTCTTTTTTATGCGACTAGCCGCTGTATGTGAGCTGAGAGCAGTTTGATGTAAACTAAGGAAAATAGCTACTTATGTAATTTATAAGAAATCACTAATAGCAATATTTGAAGACCATTTTTAGGACCCTTTATTAAAGACTCGATATAACTAAAAAAAACTCTTCATTTTTTTCACTTGCAGTACAAGTGTGTTGTAACCGGGAACTAGACTGTTTTCCAGAAAACATTTTTTTTTTACAAATCGGTCAGAAAAAGAGTACGATTTAATCGAAAAAACCAACTATCGCTCTATTCAGTTGACCTTTTGATGAAATGATATAGAGCTTGCTTGAGGCTTCAAAGATACCGAGGTCGATTCCAACCGGAATTGATTCTAGCGTGTACTTTTACTAACTGGAATTATTTGCCTTGTATTAATCAAGTTTTCGGACTATCGTGTGCCTGCTTTTTTGTCGGCTTAATGACCGCAACAGGTACTTCTTCAGTAGTTTTCCATGATTTTGAACGCCATTGCTTAATATTTTTAATGATGCAAGTAATTGGATTGCAAAATTTCTTTGTTGCAGAATTTGGTTGCAGAAATTTCTTTGATGCAGAAACTTGTTGCAGAAATTTGAAAGTTCCAGAAATTTTTGTAACGAATCTTTTTTTAATAAGTTATTTTTTGGTAAGGTTGTGATAATTGGTGACTAGATTTATTTTTCAGGCTAAATTTTTTCCTCATTGGATTTGCACATGAAAAACTATTATGTGCCCTCAAATTGCTTTCGAATTGAAATGGTCTCATAGCATTTTTCAGAAGTTTTGTATAAAAGATTTTGGAATTATAGCCAGACTGTGCACTAGGCGCACAATTTAGTGTTTGCCCGCATCCAGTTTCAAGCGTTAATAATCGATTATAATATGATTTTAGTACCAGTCTACAAAAATTGAGAAAAAATTAATTTTAATCAATTAATAATCGATTATAATCTCTCGTTTTGAAATCAAATAAAATCAAGTATAATACATTATAATCAATTATAATCGATTGTTTTTATCCGAAATTCTATTCGATTGTTTTACTGAAAAGATCCATTTTCATCGAATATAATTGTTTATAATCCTTTTAGTTTGCCTATTTTATCTTCGACCTTGCATAATAATTGCTTATATTTTATGCTTTTCGTAGACGTGGGTTTATTCAAGTTTGTAACGTTTTTTTTATTTCTTTTTGAATATAGTTGTTTCATGATGATCATTGTAAGTTTCTTTGACCACCAAAAAATCAGCATATTGCTTTGGTTTCATGACTTGTATTGAAAAGTTATAATTTACATATCGCGGGATTCTTTCAACTAATATGAAGGGATCTCTATCAAACTTTTGTTTTGCAGCAAAACTTTGTGTTCAGATGAACCAAAGAGTGACAAGATATCTCACTCTTAGGAGATTTTCGACAGAAAATATTTTTTTATAATCTATTATAATAGACTATAATAGATTATAAGAGATTATAAGAGATTTTCGGAAAAAGTGTAATCAATTATATGTCTATATTTTTAATAACGTCACAAAAAGTGTTACGATTATAACGGATTATGAATCGTTTAAAATATCTAATTTTGGCGCTTATAATTAATTAAACTTTTGATAAACGTACAATTTTAATTGTAATATAATCGATTAATTTCTCTTTTTACTGAGTGCGGGTAGGTCTGTGGAATTCGAAGAGAAGTCTTGAAACTTGTTAAAAACTTTGTCGGAACTACCAAAGAAAACTAAAAAACAAAAAAACACAAAGAGAGCGTCCTTGTAGCTGATACCGCTTACAATTCACGAAATACACATTTGGACTCGTAATGGTTTTTTGGGCTGAAAGAAATGCTCTTTCTGCTCTCAACTTTTTTAGTTGTTTTTTATTTGATAAATAAATTAAGTTTACAGAATTGAAGCATTTTGAAACTTTTAAAAACTCGTTTAATACTACAAAACAATCAGTTCATTACGATAGGTACTGTTGTGTGCGCCTAGTAGTATACAGTGCTAATTTAAAATATCCGGAAAAAAAAAATTAAAATTACGACGCATTTTTCTCATTCTATATGACAAAGGATGAGGACCAAATTTGCTCAAAATTTTAACATAAATATAATGGTGCGATTTCCTTAGCAAAATTCGAGCTCAAAAAATTACCCCAAAAACGATTAATTTTGGTTTTGATTAGTCAATCAAAAATTACTTGTATCTGATTTGTTTTTTAATCTACAATATCACTGCAAGCCTCGATGTAGGCCCCCAAATTAAAAAAGGATGTAACCTCCTAAAGTGGACGCAAAAGGTTTATAAATGTTTTGATTAGAAAAATTGGTGTTTTTTGGATACGAAAATAAATATGTTCATAAAAAGCTGAGAAAATTATTCCCTTCTTAAATTTTGTTGGGCTACATAAGAGGTTGGCCTACATTGCAGTGGTATAATTTTGTCAATAAGTTAGGTGTAATTTTTGATTATCTAAACAAAACCAAAAGTTATCGTTTTTGTGGTACATTTTTGCGCTCGAATTTTGCAAAAAAAAATTTCTGCTTAAGTTTCTGTTAATTTTTTGAGCAAGATTGGTCCTCATCACTTTTCGTCTAAAATCAACACATTTCGAGAAAAACGCGTTTTTTAATTCAACTTTTATTTATTTTGTTCCGATAATTTAAATCAGCACTGTATTCTATTGGACCAAATATAGAATCATAAAGATCAAATGACTTAACAGTTTTTTCACCGTTCTATTTTTTTTTGCCTGAGATTGAAAATTTCGAAAGTTTTGTTTTTTTTTTGTTTTTTTTAGGTCGATCAAAATGTTTCTCCGAGCTCTCCCAAAGCAATAAAAAAAATTGACCTGTTTTGGTCAATTTTTTTTTGCGCCGCAAGCAAATTATCTACAAGGCCTCCGGCCCCTCCTCCTTAATCCACTACTGATTGATACAAAAATAACTCATCAACGATTAAATTTGAGTTCTGAAAAAATTAACATCTCCATTTTGATTTTAAGGATAAATTATTACCAATAATACTGAAGGATCATTTGTAAGGCTAAGAAACGTTATTTGCTTTGATCCAACAAGAGACAAGTTTAAATAAACGCTGTCAGTAATGTCAAATTCCGCCCTGTTTCTCAAATTATTGCAGAGAGAAGGATGAGATGTCAACGAAGTTGTTTCATTTAATCGCTGATTAACAAAAGCCCGATTGGCCATTGGCCGTGAATTTTTCAAATAAAACGTAATTGCAGCTTGCATCAATTTAAGTTTAAATATTTTGAGCACAGATTGCAGATTGGTTCACATTATAGACATTGGACAAATAAAAACACGGAGTGCGCTTTCATTTGCTGGTCGGATAAACTAAAATTTTAACAAAAAACCAACATATCTTTCAATTTTGAGCTGATTTTCAAAAATGGCTGCAAGAAGTAGTCGAGTACTAGGCAAGAAACTAAAGGAAAGCTTGTGTGTCTAATTTGGAAATTTAAACTCACTTTCTACATAATTCCACGGTGATTCTGCTAAACCTGTGCCTTTCACATCGTTGGGGAGAGTGTTAGTCAGCATTCAATGTAATGGCTCGGACGCAAAATTATATTAAAACTTATTTTTTTAACCATATTTTGGCGGTAAAGTCTCACAACAGCATGCACCAAATACTACAAAGCATTCAATTCATTTTGATAGGTAGTGTAGTGTGCGTTTAGTAGCATAGATCTTTATTGAGCTAAATGTACAGTCATAAAGATGAAAAAAAAATTACGAAATCTGAAAAAAAATCATGAAAAATTTTTAATCGGTTATGCAATCAAATAATTTGTTACGAAAACTCATCACCAATCTGAGACTTTTTGTCACCTTTTCGTGAACTGATGCAAAAAATTAGAGACATCAACTGTCAGAAACCCAGTTTTCGGGAAAATGCAAAAAAAATGACTAATCGTTATTTTAATATTAAACTAAAAATTAAATTCAATTGCGATGCCTCACATGGAAGCTTGGGACCATCCCTTGAACAGGACCATAGGGTCAACTGGCAGACAGCATACTTCGCCAGTAGATTTGCTAACGTGGTAGAATCAACAAATTGGAGCTACTAGTTTTAAATGGGCTTTGGATCGATTCAAATTTTTGTCTCCTGGATCAACACTTATCTGTTTTAACGGACAATTAAAGCACATAAAGGCTGATTGATACACATGTTGGCAAATTTAATGTGTCAAAATAGCATCCGCGCAATAATCCTGAAAACTCTAATTTTTTGGACAAGATATGTACTCTGCTTAGAACGATGAAATTTGCATTAGCGGCTCTAAGAAATAGAAAATGTTTTCTATCCTCCTGACCTCAAGTCTTTAGAATAAAATTATGTTTTTGCTAATAAAACAGATTTATTCTTTAAAAAAAACAAAAAGAAATTGACGAGGGAGAAGAGACGATTTGTTACAACTCCACCTCGGAAGTTATGATAATCTCTAGCTGGACAATCTACATGTCTCAGAGGTTTGCCTGTAACTTGATGGGAGATTTTTAATCCCGGCTGGCCTACTTGCATGAAAATCAAGAGTCGAACAAGACAGTACATTTGTTGGCCAAAAGTTTTTGCTTAAAAGCATATATCGTAAAAGCAGGTGGAAACTTGAAGCAACCTGCTAAAACAGCAGGCCTAGGAAAGCTGAATACGGTCGTACGACCAAATCAAACAAGGCTGCTCGTATCAGGGCGAAGCCCTGAATGTTCCGACTGCCTTTTAAGGTCTATGGAGCAGCAAGAACATGAAAAATTTAAATAGCAAGAACATGAAAAAATTAATTGTAATAAAATAAAGTTAAAATAAAAAAAAACTTGAGATTCTTTTTGTGAAAAACATCCCCCCACACGCCATATTAAGTACGAAGTGATAGATTTTGCTCCTATTAACAAATCAAATCAAAAATGACATATAATCTTCCTTAAATCAATTTGGAACGATTTCTAATACGGATTAAATCTCGCTATTCGCGCGTTATTTGTCCCAATTTGGCCAAAATGGCAACCTTTAAACCACCATAACTTTACGAAAAATGATCACAGGTGAAATATATTTCCAAATTCAAGCTCAGAACAACAATAGTTTTTGAATGATATAAAAAATTCCGTCAAAAAAGGCTAGTTAAGAAGTCGA